CGTGTGCACTAGAATGCATATTGTTTACTGGGAATGGAACAGAGGCTGGGAATGAAACAGAAGCTTGCAATGGCAAACGGCTTGCACTGCCAAATTGAGGCATAGCCCGATGTCCATAACTATGGATTCCAGGGTCACTCAATGCTGTGTGCTCATGGTTATGACTATTACTGGTGTGAATTGCATGAGCAAGGAGGGCGGAAGTCGTCGGTCCTGACGAAACGGGTACATGAGTGAAGGCCTGCAAACCTGGCGCACTAGCAACGTCGGGAGGTGCTTGTGAACTAACAGAGTCTACCCAATCATTAGTTCGATCGGTTGCTACCTTTGAAATAGGTTGACTTACTCCTGTTAAGTTACTTTCCGCTACCTTCTCGCTAACCTCAGATGAACTGTCCTCAAGTTCAAACGCTTTCAATTCCATTTCAATTAGTTGCTTTTTATGATTTTCAGCCAATTGCTCTAGTTCCAGCTGACTTTGTTCAAACTTAAGACGGTTCTCTTGCTCTTTAAGTCTTAAAGATACTTGATACTGCCTTTCCAGCTCCTCATGGCGTCGTTTTACTAAAGCTAACTCATGCCGTTTCTCACTTGATGACATAGTGCGAACAGTCGACGTATGACGAGTGGAAGCAGATTTATCAGACTTATGTGAGTCAAGCTTTCTACTATCCTTAGACTTATTAGAGACCTTAGACCTGTTTTCAGATACTCGTGCTGCTGAATCACTTGTTTTGTGCGAGTGTGAGGATGTCTCAGACCTAGTTTGTTGTAAAGATCCCTTGCTCCCTGTAATGCCGGCTGCTGGAAATGACGAAGGTTCAAGGCTCATCTTGTAACTCTGAGCTTCGTGCATTACTTTATCGTTCATTTCGGTTACTTTCTTAAGCCAAAGGTCTTGCTGAGCAATAATTTTTTCAGGATTTTCCGTTTTTCCCGCTAACCTAATTAATTGTTCATTGACGTCGACAGCTTTTTCCAACGCAATTTTACATTTGTAAACAGCATTATCAATTTTTGTAGTGCGACTATTATTCTCAATGTACTCAAGTAATAATGAGTGACCTTTAAGCAGCTCATTTTCTAGATTTAGACGGGTTTCGAATAACTTGCGTATCTTACTTTGGAATTTTTCGTCCATGTTTTTCACAAATTGACAATATTCTACGGATGCTCACTTGTAGAAAACAATCAATAAAATGAGATACTGTTTTGGTACGTAATCAAATTTGCATTAGTAAATCAACATTAGCTTACAAGACGGGGGAACTTGACGTCTCAAAGCTTCTACCTGAAGCCTATTTCTTATAGCTTTCCGAGCTTTGAGGGGTAAGCGGTTTCGCTTCTTACGTGTCTTAAGGATGTTAAGATTAGCGCTATAACGCCTTAGAAGGAGGAGAGTCTTTAACTCAAGGGAAGGAGGCTGGTGAAGCTCTTTGTACTTCTCAATTAGTACCTGGTCCTTAGCCTTACGCTTAGAGATAAAGTCTTCAACGACGTTGAGAACGAGAATACCTGTTGAACCTAAACTTTCCTCTATATCATCGGTTCCGTTCCGTCTACAGTATACGATCGCACAAATGTTTGTCCTATACCTTAATAACAAATTGACAAGTTGCTCACTACTCAGCTTGCGGTTATTGTTGCTGCGGTGTCTACTTATCGAGTTATTAATGGCGTCGTGCCAAATTACAAGGTCGTTACGGTGCGACAAGTAATGATGAAGGTAGTACTGTATTGTTTTCTGAGAGTCCCTAGCGTTAAAGTTCAAACTTAAACCTGGCTTCGTAAAGCAAGTATCTTTGACGCGCTTCTGGGACGGAGCGGGAAGTTTTCGGAGCGCGTGATCCAAAGAACTAGCTCCAAGGATGAATACCATACACTTAGGGGACCTATGCGACGGCTTCGTTACGCTTAAGTACCAATGGGGTTGGAAAATTAAGTAGGTCGGTTGAACTCCAACAACACACACGGAGTAAACCTGAGGATGAAAGAATTCAACTTAACTCACTTAATATCACCGTACCTGACCACTTAACTTTACTGTCACGCAACGAAGTCAATAATATGACGGGCTGAAACGGCTTTGTTTTACTCGAAGCGAACTGGCTTTCAGTTTCACCAATGGTGGGTGGGGGATCAGGCAAATTGGTTAAGTTCCAACAACACACGCGGAAGAAACCTGAGGATGAAAAAACTCAACTTAATTTGCCTGATATTTCGCTACCAGACCACTTAATATAAGGTTGGTGTCATCTTACAGCACAGTTTCGCAGAGTTCTGGAGACGTTTTGAGGATTTTTTGGCAATTTTTTTACTTTTTATACAAAATTTTTCAGAAAATTTTGGTCAGCAGGTTCGAGTCATAAACCAACCCAAAAAACTAGTCCAGTACCTGTTGTCTATGTTCCGATTTCACTGATTAATATTCCGTTCACATATATCCAAAAATTTTTGGTATCGAGAAAAAATGTCAAGTCAGTTTGTCTATGTACCGACTAAGATATTTCAGTTCAACGGAACTGTCCAAAATTTTTGGGTATTGAGAAAAATTACCGGGGGCTAGCTTGCGGAAAAATTTTGAACATATATGACATCGTATAAAATTTATAGCACAATTTGAGTTTTAAATGTTTTGGAAACTTCTTACAGTTTTTAATTGGAGATAGGCGACACCGGGAAAAATCCAAAAACTTCCGCCAGTCTGCTCTTTCGTCTGTTTATTTCTTCTCTCTGCCACAGTAGAACTTGATGAAGAAGAAGAGTCCGAAACCGACAACAATCACGAAGATGACGACCACAATCACAGGCCCCACAATCTTAATCGCTGAGCTCGATTCCTCATCCTCGCTGTCTCCTTTTTCAGCTTTGAAGAAATGTTGTAATATAATTGTGCCAATATCGTCAATTACGATCTCCAAAATGCAACAAATAGTCGCCGTCCTCTAAACCGTCCTGAAAATCGAACTCACAGTAGCCGGCAAGGCTGCCACAGTCAATACCTTGTTCAGCTGTGCAGACACGAAACTATGAGTGAGTTTGTGCCAAAAGTCGGACGAAGTTGTTTCGTCGATTGATTGAGTGAGTATTTGCGCTAATGCAAATTGAGCTGAGCGGACAAGTGCAGCTATCCAAATCCAACAGTTATGTCGTTTGGTAGATTCTGTTGAACTTATGTTGTAATAAGGTCAACGAGATTGTCTACCGATGACTTCGTTATCAACTATTCCTCGCAGTCAATCCACGTGGCGTTCCAAACGTTGGTTGAGTGAAATTGGTGTGTTGTTTTCTGTGTAGATTAGGCGAAATTTGCCGATCGTGCGAGTGACAAACAACCCAGTCTCTTTCCTGTGGGGGCGAGTCTTGCGAAAGGGGATGCCGCCTTATTGATGGTTGGAATTCAATTCGTGAGCTGAATTGGCGATTGTGCTATTTGAGCGTGTGTTAGCAATAATTACGACGCAATACTATATTTGGACGGGCGTCGTCGTGTCTCTCGTTATTAGAACCAACTCGGGTCCCTTGTGGGGCGCCAAAATATGCTCGCTAATCTCCAAAAAAACTGTTCCAAATCCGTAAATTAGTAAGAGATATTTCTCGGCAAATAACTCGGTCAATAAAATAATTTCGGCATTTTTCTATTGATCAGAACATCATATAACATTTTTAGCATCTGCCTGTTTTTGGTACAAATCGGCGCAAGCTAGCCACAAGAACCGGTCGGTAATGTCCTTGAGACAAATTGCTCTTTTTGGCGGTCAGCCTTAATCAAGGCTGAACCGAATTAGAACCAAAAAACAGTTAAAATAGGATGTAACCCCCGTTTTTAGTATATTAATACATGGGCAGGTGGGGGACTCGAACCTACGTCAACTGTTAACCTATATAATCGGCGTTATGGTAGCTTAGGCCACTCGGCCAACTGAGCTTATTTTTATATGCATCTATACTTGTTTTATTCTACATTTGCATTGCAACAAGTTTTACTCGAGTAAAATAAGTTTTTGATTTCTAGCGGCTTTTTAGTCGTAGCTACATGAATTGTTTTCGAAATTGTTTATATTAATATAACTGTTGAGTACTCTTAAGCTGTCGCTTTTCGTTCAAAATCTTTTGTCGCACCACACAGAAAAACACGACACTAATTTTAAGAAAAAACTATTGATTTTTTAAGACCATAGTCGGAAGAAACATTCTGTGCTACTGGTGCATTGGCCAGCTATCTTTGTTCTGATTTAAATAATCATTAAGGAAAAATTAGGAACTGTAATAAATAATTTAAGAAAAATTATGTAATTCCTACTCACTAATCAGAGGCCTCTTTGAAACTTTTTAACAATATATCGTCTACCACCCCTAAAGTTTTAGGGTACCAATGTATAATTCATCTGAGGTGCAAGCGCCGAAAAAAACTGTTTTTGGGTCGAAACCATCATAAGGTTACACTGGCCGTGTTCTTTTGGTCGAAATGCTGACAAATTAGGCAACTTAGGGTCTGCTGTTTCTATAGGTCAGTGTGCTCGCCAGTAAACGCGCCTCTATCAGTCATTCTTAAGGTACCCTTCGGAATGTGTTAGTTCTTAAAGTTGAGGTGGATCTTTTTAGGGCTGCTCGCTTATTTGTTCGTTGTTGCCCACTTTCTAGAGTTATTTTGCTAAGTGAAGCTCGATTTTTACGACTCGAGCTTATATATGTCTACAACTTTCACTCGGTACCAAAATTGAAGCAAAACTTAATAAAATTGCGGTCGAAATGAAGCTAGAGTGAAAATTCTGATACTATTAAAATGCAATGGCATAAAGGAAAACTATTTTAGCCCACCTTAACAAAAATTTTAAGTCCCCAGATCCGACTACTTAGTGCTAAAAAGACTTCAATTTCGGTTGATTTGATGTCAGATCAGGTCGAGTGGTATGCTATATTCAAGCAATTTAAGACCAAATTCGACGGAAGAAAAATCTAAAAGTGACTTTTGTTTTTAAGAGAAACCTGTGGTTGACCTGAGTTCTCTTTTCGTGATCTCTCCTGATCCGTCTCTGTCTATGTAGTCGAATATGAAGTCACAGTACTCCTTGTACAACTCCTCCGCCGCCTGCTGCTCCATCATCTTAATGAACTCCTTCAACTCTATCTTGCCAGAACCTGAAAGCCAATATTGGCAGCTACTTTGTTTGACCGTGCCACATGACTAAGAAACTCGAGATAAGATTCCACTTTTTTTCAGATAGGCCACCTTCAAGAAAATCCATATCAAAAATATCAAAACTTTCGGTAAAATTCTAACTTAAAATCACTGAATACATTAAAAACACTCAATTAGGATTTTTTTGTTGTAAAGTTTTTGTATTTTGAATATATTTACGTCAATTAGTGTCTTTGAGCGTTTTTTGTTATCACGAACAAGCAGTTTTTGTAATCATAAAAAATATGTTTTTCATAAAAATAACTTTCTCATGAAGAAAACTTTTTATGATTACAAAAATTGCCTGTTTCGATCGCAGGCTTTTTTCTGATTTTTCGAAGGTTTTGTGTCGTTTTTTTTTTTGCGTGAGAAGTTGGAGGAAAAATTTCAATTGAGCATAAAATTTAGCGACGGCTTAAGTGACAGCTACACTCATATTTGCCAATTGAAAATCGATAAGAATGAGCCTACCAAAACAGATTTGATTTTGAATTTGATTTTGAATTTGACTTTTGGTACCGGGAAAGAGCCAAAATTGGCTTTAAAAGCTAGGTGTATTTGGTTCAACGAAAATTTTATTCGGTTTTTTGGCACCAACAGATACTCGCTGTCCTAAGTCGTTCTAAATTCGGCAAAAGCGAGCTTTTAACACTGATAAATATTGTTATTAAGAATCGGTCTGTTCAAGACTGAAAGACAATTTGATTTTATAATGATAAATCACTTAACCTCATGTGACATATTTCACTGATTTTGTGTGCAAAAAAGTATAAATGAAAAGAAAAAACTAGCACATCTGAAAATATATGATTGGATTAACTACATATGCATGGGCTCATTCGACCCCCTCACTAACCCCTTGGTTTTATTTTATGACATCCTTTTTTGACAATTATTGAAACTTTTCTTGGGTGCCAATATATAATTATTTTAAAGGGGAGCGAGAAAATTATGTCAAAAATTTCGTCTTATAGTGCTTTGGGAGCGCTAGGAAAATATCAATTTGGTCGACCTAAAAAAATATCGACCATTTTTTTTTGAAAAATCACCCCTTCCCCTGAGAAATTTCTAGCTCCGCCACTGTATATATGATTAACAGGGCTCGAAAACCTTCCCCAATTTATAATCCAACCAGGAGATAATTGCTGACCAGTTTATCAAAACTATCCGATCTTCAATAGTCAAATATTGTGATAGTAAAACGCTACGATTGTAAATAATGAGAACTGAAGCTATACCATCTGTGTCATACTGTTTGACGAGTGTCCTGGCGTCACTGAGTTGGTACTGAGTGAAGCCCTGTGCCTTCATCGCCTCAAACATCTCCTCCTCATCCAGGCACCCATTGTGGTCCGCATCCAGGGTCTTAAACAGCTCCACACAACTACGCTTCTGCTCCCGAGTCAGACGCACTTTGCAAAATAGTTTCAACAATTTTAGTTTTCCTTTTTTATTCAGTTTTCTGAAGACTTTTAAAAGGGATATAAGCAACTGCGAAAAAGTAACTGGCACAAATCTGGCACAAAACTACTTCTTATTGATCCTTGATAAGAAAAGTTGAAAACAACACACTTTTGCAAAAACTTAATTTTTACACATTCAAATTTTTTCTATTATATTCAGTTTGCCAAACTGTTTTAGTGATAACGGCTACCAATGTGTCCAGCGATCTGGATTTGTCTTCAAAACACAGTGTTTTTGCCACAGTGTTTTGAGTGTTTAGAATTTTAAGGAAAACTAAAAGCACCCTTTGGTAAGTTTCGAGAACCACCAGATGCCATGGTTATTCAAGCACAACGAAGGACGATGTTTATTCAGTTCGCTATAAGGTTATTAGCCGCTCATTAAACACAATCTTATTTGTTTGCCAAAGTTAGCTTATTCTATTGGTAGCAAAGATTTGAATTAAAGTTTTAGTGAGCTCATTCATTCTAAAACTTTCCAGAACGAATTCCAGAATGCCACACTGCTCGTAATAAGACAAGCCACTGAATATTCTAACTGCCCTTCAAGGTATCTGCAGTCGTTTTTTAAACATCCTTAATACGTACAAAGATTCCTATTCTTTTAATCTTCCCTTTTGTTTTTAAACCTTCCCCCTACACAATTTCAACTGTCAGGTGTCACCCGCCAACAGATTAATTGGAGCAGTTATATTGTTTTATTTCATTTTTCAAAAATGATTTAGTTTACCGCGCACACTACTATTTAACAGAAAAGTACTTAACAAAGAATGCTCTTTAAATATCTCAAACTCGCCAACATCACAAAGTTAAACCTTAGAACGTACACAAATATCAGAAATGAAATAAAATTTTAGTTTGAAGTTACGGAAATATTGCATCAGGAAAAGTTCGTTGAAACAAGCTGGTTTTCCTAGTAAAATTTCACCTTGCGCTTTTGCGTGCCTTTAAATGTTTTTTTTTTTGTAGATGTAGTCTGATGTTTTGTTTGTTTTCAGGTTTCTAGTGTAAGTTATTGTGTTTTCAGGGTCTCTCTTGCTTGCTCACTGATAGCTAATAGGAAAAGGAAAGTATTTCGTCTCGGACACAAAAAATTCTGTACTTTCCTGTTGGCTACATCCTTATGTGATCTCGCTTGAGTCTTTTTTAAAGCTTTTAACAAGGTTTCTAAGCGTTTGCCGATTTTAAAATTCGCCTAATAAAACTGGGAATCCAGCCCTGGTTTCTAGCTAAATTCTTTGAAAACCAGCCCTGGACTCTTAGACGGATCCAGGAAAGCCAGGGTAATCCTTGCAAGACTTAGACCTGGTTTTTTCCCTGACCAGGCCAGGCTCCTGGGATGGCTCCAGTGATGGACCTCCAACATGGACATGTAACCCGGGTAGTTAAAAAAGCGAAATCCGTCTGAAGAAAAAACCATCCGAGCACAAACATTCCGTCAATGTGATTGAAAGACGTAAAAACCAAGCGATTCGTATCAAGGCAAAACCCTGATAATTCTTACTACCTTTTAACGCCCCAATTGAAAAAAATGGATTGAAAAACTGCAACAAAAAATCAAAAACAGAAGATTTTGTTCTTTTTTTTCTTCTTTTTTTTTTAAAAATCTTTACTCTCGCTATTCACTATACGCCAACTATATAAAAAAGATTTTGTGTATGGCAACATATCAAATAATTTCAATGTTTTGCCTCACCTCAGATTGGATTGATTCAATTAGCTTCAAATGGTCGGAAGAAGCTGATTATTTTCAATTACACAAAAAATTAGTTAATTTGAAACAAGCTTGTACGGTAACTGTGCAATTAGCACAGACAGTTCCAATCTTAATAATGAAAAAAAAGTTTCGAGGTATATATTGCGCAAACCAAAAAAAAATTTCCAAAATTTCCGACAAGCTTAATGTGTTTTTAGCCGGTGTAAGTAGAAGAACCAGACAAAACATAGGCCAATAGTAAATTAGGCATCATCTACTACAGTTGCTTTTGAAAGATTTGTGTTTTTCAAAAAGTTGTGGATAAACAATTGTTTCGAATTGAAGATGAATAACAAAACCAAAAAACCTTCCAAGATGACTGACAAAAGAGTAAAGGATGTTTCTTAAACTAGTTTTACTGAAGTGAAACTAAGTTTATTATGACGAGATAATAATTTTTCTTGTTATAACACCTACTCACTCGCTTTCTTTGCTCGAAAATAGACTGACAAGGAGAAGTCTCTAGTTTTTTATTAGGGAAAGTGGTTTTTAATTTAACTTTGTTCTTCCCTACGTTTTTAGCTGACCTCCATAGACCTAATCATAATTTAATAAAAAACTGAAGTCTTGAATACAGAAAGTCTGACAAAAATTTTTATAATTTCCAGCCAAAAAATTTGAAAAAAAACTTTAGGCTTCATTTTGGCTGAGGCGTCAAAATTTTTGGCAATGCTAGCATTAGTTTTAACAATTTTGCTGGTGTAATATAATCATCTAAGAACATCTATAATTAACAAAGAAAACCACTCCAGTTTTGGAGCTAAAATGTCTGCGACTGCAAATTAAACAATTGTTTTGGCGACAAAAGGTCTAAATTGCAACAAATTTTTAGCTCAAAAGTCCTAAAGTGTCATTTAAGATTGTAAATGATCGCCGTTTATTTTTAATTGCTGCTCTTAATATATTGAAATTTGTTCAAATTTTTGTCACTGTTGAACAAAATGTTCTTTTTCGGTACTGTTTTACTTCGGAACTATTGTACTGCTCCCATTTTACACAGTTTTGAATGAATTTTACACGGTTCTAAAAATCAATAGAAAATTATTTTGAAAAAGCTTTAACTTTGACAAATTTAGCTATTTAAAAGCATTACTTAAACGCATGACTAGTTCTTGAGAAACTTAAATTAAACTTAGTAAAACAAAAAAAAACAAAAAAAACCCGGGTTGCACAAAAAAAGCCCTTGTAGCTTCTCTTATTGTAAACAAACTGAGCATAGATTAGATTTTGTAGTTATTGGAAGTTAATTAAATTTCTTTTCTCGGTTTATGAATTTGGTACTTTTTTGTAGTCAAGTAAAGAACACAAAACTTGCTAATCTTACAATTGTGGATACTTATATAATTTGATATTTTAAATGGAACTTGTAAGATCAGCAGTTTTTTCCTAGATTCCATCTATAAAAATATATGATCTGCTTTTTTCTTGTATAGAATTTCACGATGTTTTTTTCTTGTATGATCATCACGTACCGGATCCTGTTTTAACACCTTTATGAGCTTGATAAAACGACTGAAAATGAGCAGTTAAAAGATTGGTTTTTTTTTCACTTTTTTTGATTAGAAAACATATAGCTCACAACATGGCAATATAGAGAAAATGTAAGAAAAGAAAATGGAGCGGACAGATAGAGTTAAAAAACTAATTCATTTTTAAATGTTGCAATCAAGTGTTTCAGGCAAATAAAGTTTTTTTTAAAGGTCGCTTGATATATCAATTTTAATTTTTTCAAGCAATGTTATCTGTTCAAACTATGTGCAACTATCTATATTAAGATAAGAAAACTGCTCAATTTGACGTCAAGAACTAAATTCTAACTCTTTTGAGCTTGTAGAAAACTGTACTGAATTTCTAATAGTTCATAGAGTAAACAAGACTGGTCGTAAATCAGGTCAAACCCCTGAGTTTTTCGATTGTCACTCAATCCATATCAAACAGTTTTTTTGAAAAATTTGGACAAGATAAAATATCGAGTGCAAAAAATTCAGTCGAATGAAATTGTAACAACCGATTCACTAGCTTTGATTTGGAACAATTTTTTTTGTGCGAGATATTTTGTTACGCATAAACAATTCGCGTTACTTTTTCAGCATTATGAATAGAATCTTCAAAGCGCGCAAAACTTAGTCCAGAGCAAGGCCAATTTGGCAATTTCAAACTCCCGGAAATTTGCAAAAACGATTGGAGGTAAAATACCTTTTTTACATTTAGTTTCATCTTCGATAGGGCATAAAATATATTTTTGTTGAAAGTTATCATTTCGAACGCCGCAAAAAACTACCCCAAGCATAAATTTAAGTTTTTTTCCGAAAGTCGAAAAACGAAACTTTTTTTACCAATTAAATTGCTCAAGGTCGCCAATATTGTCAACATTTTGTCAATAATCAGATAAGAAACAATCATAGCATTGCAATCAAGTAGACAAAAATTTGATTTTCTTTAGGATTCCGCAATTTTTGCTGATTTTTTGGAATGAAATGGAGCGACGCATTTTTGGAGCGTCAATTGTCTGGGTTTCCACGACAGGCGAAAGATAACCCAAGATTAGCTGTGTAGCTGGATCCACGATAAGGCCGTTTTCAACCTGTAACGCAGATCATTTAACCTTTACAAAACACTTAGTTTTTCCTCCAAATGCTTTCTTTAGAACGGCTTTTTTTCTGCAATAGGCCAATTGCAATATCCTTTTTGTCAACTAATCTGAAATAAGTCAATTTAACCTAAATGCTCATTTTAACGTAATTGCTCACTCATTTCCACATATAAAACGGTGTCTGAAAAACTATGTAACCTGATATGTTTATTATCAAGATCATAGATATTGCAGGCAATGTGGCATTAAATCTAATAAAATTTTGTCGATTCCACTTTTTTTCAAACTTTCATAAGCAGTGAGTCGAAATCAAAATAATTATAGCTTTTATAACTAGTAGCACAAAAGTGGAACAGATAAAAAAATTAAAAAGAGCAACCTGCTAATTTTGAGCAATTTTAGCATGCAAATTTGGATTTTAGAAGACCTTGATTGATATTTTCTGTCTGAAAAGTTAGATTTTGCAGGCAAAAAGATTCTGAAATAAGTCATTTGTTCTTTTTAATTATTTCTGCCAGTTCCAAATTTTTGCAACTCTCTATACAGTGCTGATTTAAATTATCCGGACAAAATGAAAAAAAACTAGAATTTTCAAACACTTTTTTCCCAAATTGGGTTACGATTGGACAAATTCAAAGTTGCTTAGAATTTCATCAGGATTAATATGATTCCATTTTTTCTCCCAAATTCCCAACCAAAAATTTTCCCCCAAAAATGGGTCATTTCGGTTTTTTTTCAATTAATCAAGAAGTACGCTGAAATTATTTTTTTAATTGATGATAATATATATCATAAGAAGCCTCTTACACACCATAACAAAGTTTCAGAGAGGTTAAGTCTCCAAAAACTTGAGTAAATTGTTTAAAATTTGTTTTTAAGCAAAAACTCTGAGTTTTTTATAGTAAAAATTTAATTTTTTTTTACTATCAAGCAAAAATATTTTCTCTTTTACAGGTTTTTTGAGATACAGACTGTCTACAACTTTGTTGGAATGTGTAGAGGCTTGTTGTTATATATATTTCTCATCAATTACTAAAGTAGTTTCAGCGTAATTTTTGATTAATTGAAAAAAAGCCAAATTAACTAACTTTTGAGGTAAAATTTTGGTTGAGAATTTTGTAGACAAAATTGCACTATAATAATTCTGGTGAAATTCTCTTCACTTTTTGTCTAACCTTAATTCACTTGGAGAAAAACGCGTTTGAATTTTCAAAGTTTGTTCGTAGGCAATTTCGGTAACTTTGAGCCTCAGACTAAAGAGAAAATTCGTTGGCCGAAAACCATTTTGTCAAAAAGAGCAACTTTCTAGAGATCAACGGAAATTAAAACTGAAAGAAACATAATATCGAAAGTTCATAACGCAGAGTTTCACTCAAAACTTAAAGCCACCGGGGGATATTGCATCCGAAGCGTCAAATAGTAAACCTTCAAACAGGAAAAATATTGCTCAGGATGGCTTATGTTTTTCTGCGATTTGTTTCCAAATTTTGAATCATTTGATCATCCTCACTTCTGTTTGTTTTTGTTTGGGGCGGCTTGATATGTTTTTTTTGTTGAAAATAACTCTTAATTTTGTTTTTTCAACTAATTTTGCTAACTATTCAATAAAAACATCTGATGTTCATCGCAGAGTATAAAAATTAGGCTAGCATAATCATCAAATTATCGACGATGTCGCATTTTGATATTGGTGTGACAAAAAAATCAAGGTTGTTCGGCTTCAGATTTTGCATACAAAAAAGTCTAAAAGCAGTGATTACTCATTTTAATTACTTCTGTGTGTCCAAACTTTTTGATACTAATTATATATTGAATACAAAACTGATATCATCTCGCCAATAAATTTGGTAAAGACACCACTCAGATATTGTCAACAGTTTTATCATAGATACTGTTTTGATTTTCTCTGTTTCAAAGATTTCAACTTCAAGTAATGAATTCTATCTGGGCCATATATGCTAGCAAATACAAGTAGATGTTTGAACGGCATATTACTCTAAAACCCAAGAAACTATTCTAAACATTTCTACAGAACACAAACTCTATGCTCATCAAATTCTTTAGGTTGAACACATTAAAGTACTGTTTCATCTACTCATAAGTGCAAGTTGCTCAAGAAAAAAGCGTGAACCGAAGTATTATTTAAAAGGTAAGAAGTTCAAACACTAGAGGTTTCTGAACAAAGAAAAAGTATTGTGTAATTTGTACTCAGAAAGCAATTAAAACGTACAAAAAACATCTTGAAATGAAATTTCGGATGTTTTTTTGAACGAAAAAGAAGCCTGCGATGGGTTTTTAAAAACTAAGATTTTCGGAATTTTTTTTCTTCAGTTTTTGAAAGAAAATGTTTATTGTTTCCTTATAAAGCGAACCGCGAAGATTTATAGAGAGTTGCAAAAAGTTCGGACAGACAGAATTAATTAAAAAGAGCAACTGTCTAGACATCAACGGAAATTCAAACTTGAATAAACATAACGTCGAAAGTTCATAAAGCAGAGGTTCGGAATCTACTTAACAATCTCCCCTTTCAAGAAAGGGGAGGAGATTGTTAATAAGATTACTTGCAGCGATTTTTCGACCACTCAAAATGCAGCAAAATTCGATTTTACATACAATGCTCTAGTGCAAATCTACAGGGGTGGAGATTCTTTAGTAGATACAATAGGGGGAGGGAAGCGAGATTGCTATAACCACGGCAGGCAATTGCATCCGAAGCGTCGAACTGTTTTATAGTAAAATCTGGATGTTCATCACAGTATTTAAAAACTACTAGGCTAGCATAACCATTGGATAATCGACTATCTCGCATTTTGAATTTGGTCTGACAAAAAATTCAAGGTTGTTCGGCTTCAGATTTTGCATGCAAAAAAGCGTCGAAAAGCAGTGATTGCTCATTTTAATTAATTCTGTCCGTCCGAACTTTCTGCTACCAATAATAGCAACGTTATATAATTACTAGAAAAAGTTAGAACAGACGGAAATAATTATGGAGCGCGCAATCTGCCAAATTTTTATGCAAGATTTTCAGTTGGCCTTGAGACACACTTTCCGTCTGCAAAATCAGCTTTTTCATGCAAATTTTTATTGTCTGAAATAGGTTTTTTGCTCTATATTGTCTGTTCCAACTTTTTGCAACTCTCTTTATACTTAGTCTTTACTTCAGATTCAGAAGTTAGAAGAAGCAAAAATTTTTAGAAATGACATCAAAAAATGGAGTCAACGATGAGAAAAACCATCAGGAGGACCACAATTGGCTTCGTGGATTGTGGTCGGCCAAAGATAAGAACAACGAACACTCGTTCTACGAGGCCACAGCTGACAATTACGAAAATGCCATGGCTCAGATAGAATGGAGGGCCCCCCAGTTGAGCATGAAAACACTTGAAAACTACGAGAGAACATCTGGTAAGATCAAAGCTTTTAAAGAACTCACTCGCCAATTCCTAAAATTTTGTTCATCTAGCTTTACGATTAGAGAAAAACTGAATTTTCAAAATGCGCAGGTTTAAATTAAATTCTGATAAAGCAATACCCGCGCTGACAAAATGATTTCTAACTGAGGCTCTTTTCCAGTTTCCCACCCCCTCGTAAAATTACAAAACAAAACTGTCCATAAATTGTTCACACGACAATTTGCATGTTAGAAATGTTGTAGAAATTTATTCACCTGTTCACTCTGACACGTTTTAATGCAGTTTATAACATCAAAAGTCATTTTAAATAGACTTTTGTTTAATGAACTTCAGAAAAAATCAAAGGGGGGGGAACTGGAAAAGAGCACTGATTCAAATTGATTTTAAATTGATTTTAAGTCGCTGCAAATTGATTAACAATGCAGATTTTAGGAACTGAAATGGATTTTGAATCGATTTCAATCTATCCTTCTTAAAAAAAATTGTATCAATTTTGTGGCTAAAAAATCTATTCAAATTGATCTGGATGGATTTCCGACTCACTGAAATCCATCTGAATCTCACAAAAATTCATTTGAATGCATTTTAAACGGGCTACTCTATTTTTTATGGGCAATTAATCAGACAACGGGCTGTAACTTATAAATCAAACCAACAAAAGGTTTGTTATAAATCAAGACTTGAGCTTAGCAATATGCAAAAAATTATAGAAAATCATCACTGTAAATCCGATTTTGGGCATGAACCTAAGAAACAAATCAAGAAAATGGTCACAACTTTTCAAACTTTGAGCTCAAAAATTTTCATGAAGTCATTGACAATTTCCTTGTAAAACAGATATTGGGAGAAACTATTAGCATTAAATGTAAACAATCGGTCACAATAGATCATCAAACTTTAAGCTGAAACTATGCAAGGGCAGCATTAAATGCTATCAATAATTTTGAAACTATTTAGTTATTGGTACTTTTAGAATGGAATGGAAGAAAAAAGAAAAAAAAGCAATAACAAAATGCAACACAAACTCGAAACTATTAAAATTCTAATAAAAATAACTTAAATTGAACTCAGTTTTAAAGCCCTTAAAACAAAATTAATTCACGACTGAAAAAAAAAGTTTTCAGTCAATTTAAATTGATTCAGATCATTTATTTTTAGCTGAGAATTCAGATATATTTAAATCGATTTAGAATTGATTCATAACAATTATAACCTTTTCTAATTGTTTGTTCTACTTTTTCATAATAAAATTGATCCCACTTGAAACTACATGTTTTTTCATACTAAAATCATTCCTAGTCCAATTTTGAATGTGCGGGTATGAAAAAATGCTTGTATCAGGATAAAGGTCTGTAAGTTCCGAAAGCATTTTCAGAGACCTAAGAAATAAACTTTGTTTATAAAAAAACTGGATGAAAGTTTTTTTCTAAAAAAAATCACCTACTCACAGGTTAAATAAAGTAAAAGAAATGATGAATTTTGCAACAAGCAAAGTATTAAGGAGACCGGGTAGCATCCCTGAATTTAATTTGGAACGATTCCTACGACGAATTAAAGCTCCGCTTACGCTTGAAAAGCAAGAAACTTTTTGAGCGCTAATTGTCTTAAATGGGCAATCTTTAAACCCACTTATGTTAAGGATAAATGATTACAGGCAGGGGCGGATCTAAAATTTGTTCGAGGGTGGGCGAATTTTCATAAAACGATCAAAAATTTGATCGATCTTTTTTAACCGGAACACTATAAAGATTTAAACTTGACCAAAAAAAAGGGCACGGCAGACAACTTTTTGAAAAAACAAGTCAAAAAAGCTATTTTTGGGCGTTTTTTGGACAATTATTACTTAAATTGTGCATGATTGGCGCGCACTCACGATTGGCTTCGTGGATTGTGGTCGGCCAAAGATAAGAACAACGAACACTCGTTCTACGAGGCCACAGCTGACAATTACGAAAATGCCATGGCTCAGATAGAATGGAGGGCCCCCCAGTTGAGCATGAAAACACTTGAAAACTACGAGAGAACATCTGGTAAGATCAAAGCTTTTAAAGAACTCACTCGCCAATTCCTAAAATTTTGTTCATCTAGCTTTACGATTAGAGAAAAACTGAATTTTCAAAATGCGCAGGTTTAAATTAAATTCTGATAAAGCAATACCCGCGCTGACAAAATGATTTCTAACTGAGGCTCTTTTCCAGTTTCCCACCCCCTCGTAAAATTACAAAACAAAACTGTCCATAAATTGTTCACACGACAATTTGCATGTTAGAAATGTTGTAGAAATTTATTCACCTGTTCACTCTGACACGTTTTAATGCAGTTTATAACATCAAAAGTCATTTTAAATAGACTTTTGTTTAATGAATTTCAGAAAAAATCAAAGGGGGGGGAACTGGAAAAGAGCACTGATTCAAATTGATTTTAAATTGATTTTAAGTCGCTGCAAATTGATTAACAATGCAGATTTTAGGAACTGAAATGGATTTTGAATCGATTTCAATCTATCCTTCTTAAAAAAAATTGTATCAATTTTGTGGCTAAAAAATCTATTCAAATTGATCTGGATGGATTTCCGACTCACTGAAATCCATCTGAATCTCACAAAAATTCATTTGAATGCATTTTAAACGGGCTACTCTATTTTTTATGGGCAATTAATCAGACAACGGGCTGTAACTTATAAATCAAACCAACAAAAGGTTTGTTATAAATCAAGACTTGAGCTTAGCAATATGCAAAAAATTATAGAAAATCATCACTGTAAATCCGATTTTGGGCATGAACCTAAGAAACAAATCAAGAAAATGGTCACAACTTTTCAAACTTTGAGCTCAAAAATTTTCATGAAGTCATTGACAATTTCCTTGTAAAACAGATATTGGGAGAAACTATTAGCATTAAATGTAAACAATCGGTCACAATAGATCATCAAACTTTAAGCTGAAACTATGCAAGGGCAGCATTAAATGCTATCAATAATTTTGAAACTATTTAGTTATTGGTACTTTTAGAATGGAATGGAAGAAAAAAGAAAAAAAAAGCAATAACAAAATGCAACACAAACTCGAAACTATTAAAATTCTAATAAAAATAACTTAAATTGAACTCAGTTTTAAAGCCCTTAAAACAAAATTAATTCACGACTGAAAAAAAAAGTTTTCAGTCAATTTAAATTGATTCAGATCATTTATTTTTAGCTGAGAATTCAGATATATTTAAATCGATTTAGAATTGATTCATAACAATTATAACCTTTTCTAATTGTTTGTTCTACTTTTTCATAATAAAATTGATCCCACTTGAAACTACATGTTTTTTCATACTAAAATCATTCCTAGTCCAATTTTGAATGTGCGGGTATGAAAAAATGCTTGTATCAGGATAAAGGTCTGTAAGTTCCGAAAGCATTTTCAGAGACCTAAGAAATAAACTTTGTTTATAAAAAAACTGGATGAAAGTTTTTTTCTAAAAAAAATCACCTACTCACAGGTTAAATAAAGTAAAAGAAATGATGAATTTTGCAACAAGCAAAGTATTAAGGAGACCGGGTAGCATCCCTGAATTTAATTTGGAACGATTCCTACGACGAATTAAAGCTCCGCTTACGCTTGAAAAGCAAGAAACTTTTTGAGCGCTAATTGTCTTAAATGGGCAATCTTTAAACCCACTTATGTTAAGGATAAATGATTACAGGCAGGGGCGGATCTAAAATTTGTTCGAGGGTGGGCGAATTTTCATAAAACGATCAAAAATTTGATCGATCTTTTTTAACCGGAACACTATAAAGATTTAAACTTGACAAAAAAAGACATTTTTGAGCAAAAACTAGCAGTTTAAGACATTTTTGGCAAAAACTGCTAGTTTAAATAAAAGTTGAAATTTGTCTGCAGAAAAAAAAACAACCCAGGCATAAATAATCCGTTTTTTTCTTCAAAATTCGGAACAATAATTTTAATAGTACCCATTGGTCTTTTTGAGCAAAAAAAGTGTCGCGTAACTTTATCGGAAAACTTAATTGTTCATCCGAAACTAATAAATTTCATCCGACAAAATAAATCTCGAATTGATAACTTCCCGCAGTGACAAAAATGGATGAAATCGATTAATTACAGATAATTTTTTCAAAAGTCCGATCTGTTCTAATTTTATAGAGTAAAACTTGATTACGTATTTTTAAAAAAGATTAAGAGGTTTTTGTTTTGCAAAAGTTTCCTGCTATTTATCTTCCTTATTTAATCAGTAGCAAAACTTTTTAAAATTGATTTTTCTTTTTACAGTTTTATGCACACTTTATACAGATCGTATACAGAATATATACCGAACCGATTATCTGCAGATTTCATACTGGGTGTAAATTGATTATATACAGATTATATACAGACTGTATACAGATTTTATACAGATTAAAGACATATTATTTACAAATTATATGCTAATTTTCTCATTTTAATCGCCAATCAGATAGAATTGCTGTAATGATGTTTGATCTGACAAAAAATTGAAAGCAGTATTAAGGAATCAGTGTCAACAAAAGCTAATTGATTTATGTTAACTTCTTAGTTTTTTTTAATAATTTTTTCACATTAACGCGCTGAAAAGGTTGATCTGTTAAACGGCTTATAAAAAAATTTTGCACTGAATTATTTTTCTTACCGCGGGAGGCCCTAGGATGTAAAATCTTAGAGGAATTTCTTGAAAATTGCTCTTTACGGCAAGCAGTTTTCCTCATTTGAGTATAACTTACTATAACTCTGATGAAAATATTTTCTGATTGCAACTTTTTGCTTATTTAGTGAAAAAAGCATCAATTTAAATTTTGATTGGTCAAAATTGAAATTTTTAAGACCATGACCTCTGTAGTTTTTGGATAATATAATCAATTTTATTTAGATTTCATACAGATTACTTACAGATTATCTGCAGATTATATACAGGTATTATTGTATAAATATTCTATACTGACTAAATGCAGATTACCTATAGATTCTATAAATGCTTTTAAAGAGTAGAAAAGTCGGTTACGTAGGCACTCAAACTCATTTATTTCTGATGAAAAAAAAACAGCTTCTTAACAAACGTTAAGTTATGGGGGCTTAGATGTTGCCAAAATGGCCAATTTGTGACAATTTACGTGCGATATATTTCGCGCTACTAGCGCGTAAGCGGATATCTAATCCGTCTAAGAAATTGTTTCGAATTGGTTGAACCAAGTTAATTATTATTACTGTTATGTAATTATAGGAGCGAATTCTGCCTCGTTCTATATTTGTTGGCAGGTGAAGAGAATTTTTTTTTGCCGTGATTTCAAATTGTTTTTAAATATATATTTTTAATTTATCAAGGTTTTTCAGCAAACACTGCTGCGTATACCTTAAAAGGCGACCAGAACGTTCAAAGCTTCTCCCTGATACGGGCAGTCTTGATGATCTTTCTATTTTTATTCGCGTAGTAAAAACGTTTGTGGCCAAACAAGTGTCTACTAAACCGTGTAATTATGTCATCTATTTTGTTCAGGGAACTGTGTTGGTAGAAATGGAAGAGTGATAGACGTGGGAACGGGTACGGGACTGAGTGGAATTGCGATCAGACAGGTGGGGTTTACGGGGGATATAGATGCATTGGAGCCATCCAAGAGCATGTTCGAAAAAGCAAAAGAGAAGAACATATACTCCAGATACTACTCAGATTTCTTGATTGAAAACAAGGTACGAAAATAAACTGAATGATCAGAAAAAAGAGCTACTTGACAACCTCATCTCCGTGCATGATAAATAAGTACAATCTCACCCCTTAATTTACACTCTTTTCGAACGATTTCATTTGCTAAAGTGTCAAAATCACGGTTAGGTGTTATCAGCAGAGGCAACTTATCAATTTGTCATTTTTTTTCCAAGCAAGTACATGCTTGATTTTTTGTTGGAGCATAACTTTCAGTGGCATTATTATTTTCTACAAATTAGTAATACTAGCCGAGGCGAATCTAGGATTTTCACCAAGAGGGGGGCGGATTTTCAAAGAGTTTTCGAAAGTTTGTCGACCTTTTTTTTTTTTAGCTTGAGCTCTCCCGGACCACTAAAAAGACACTGTTTTGGGCACTTTGTTTTGCTCCGCAGGCAAAATTTTGACAAAACAGGCCAAAATGGCGTTTTCGATCACTTTTGAAAAACTTGGCCAGAAAATTGCGTTTTTTTGGCCCGCGTTTCGCCTCAAAATTAGTAATTATTGGCGCCCATGGCGCTTTTAAAAACAATTTTAGCGTCCGTCCAAAAAAGGATATCTGAAATTAGTACGAAGCGGGACTCTTTGGGTCGGCAGAGGGTCGAATCCTTGAGGAAGTAAGCGTTTGCCCCCTCTCTAAATCCACTGGTGAGAACTAGAAATACAAATAACGATATGAGGTAGATTAAAAATAGCATATAAAAAATCAATATTGGATTTATTTACTCCATTCGAGATTCTGATTAGGAAACAACAGTCACTGGTGACGCCTATGACCTTGTGGTTTCAGTGGGCGTCTTCAGCAACAGATCTGTCAGGTTATACGCAGATTTCTGAGTAGCTATTTCACCTTTATACGATATGTGATTTGCCAAGACTTAGTTTAAAGTTGCTCTTACGATAGTTCAACATTCATCTAATAGTTGCTGTTCAACTCAGAAATGAATGAATAAAAAAAAAATAAATTCAAAAATAAAATTAATTTTTGGATTGTAATCTTTTGACATTACGAGAAAACTTTTGAGAACATGAAATAAATGTCGAAATTGGCACGGTCAATTTTAGGAGCCAGTGTCTGTGCGAAGTAATCCGGATGGCCAAACCAGGTGCACTTGTGGTCATTCTGATGGTGAAAAACTGGTACAAAAGTGCAGATTTCAGTGATGCTCTCAAGAAAATAGAGAAGGACAAAGTCGCAAATTTGGCTCACTTAGAAGAATTCGAAGGAATTTTTGAAGGCCACGATGCTGTTGGATTTGTACTGGAAAAACTTTAATGTCAATATATTATCCAGTTACTTCGTTATAATTTTCGAAATTTTTCATACTTTTCCGGACTGTCTTGTACAGACGCGAGAATAAGACTGCTCGTATCAGGGCGAAGCCTTGAATGTTCCGACTGCCTTTTAGCTGGTCTCAAATAATTTTAAGACTTATTAATTCTCCGCCTACGCGCTAATAGTGCGTGTTAATTGTCCTAAATTGGCCAATTTTTAAACACCCATAACTTTGCGAAAAATGATCACAGGTGAAATATCTTTTCAAATTTAAGCTCAGGATAACAACACCTTTCGAATGATGTAAAAAAAATTCCTTCAAAAATGGCTAGTTAAAAAATCGAAATTTATCTGAAGAAAAAACCACCCGGAGCACAAATATTCCGTAACTTTCGTTACGAAAGTCGGAACAATAAAGAAAGCAACTTTTCAGAATAAATAATAATAACTGCTTGTTCGGTAATATTAAATCAGTGTTCTTAAAATTAAAATAAAGTGCAAGAAATTATTTTTGACTCAATTTGAAAAAACGGAAGTACTTATTTAGTAAGTATATTTAACAACAGCAGTCATACGCATACTCACAGGTATCAAACTTATTAAAAAAATCACTGAAAAATTCTTAAAACGGATTGTTTTTGTTCCAAATTTTGAAGAAAAGGGAATATTCATGCTTTGGTTGATTTTTAATTGAGTCAATTTTTGAAAAGATTAAGGGTTTTGCCCTGATATAAGAGCACGGCAAAACCCTTAAAATAAATTTTGCATTTGTCGTTTTTTGAGCACCCGTATAATTTGCTTCAGTTTAAACTTTCCCAATCAGTTAACTGTTGCCATAGAAAAATATATATATTTTTGAAACTTCCATAGCTTAGTGTCTTTTCTTTTTTACTTCGTTTTTTTACTTTTGGCGTCATTTGTTCATGAGACTAAATTATTTTTTTTGGCTAAATTTTGAGTGCCGTGAATAAACATTTGGTTGACACTTATAAATTGGCAAATGAAAACTAGTTTGTGGATTTGGTTTTCAAGTCAAAAAACCCAAGTTTTGAGACAATTTTGTCAGCAGAAGTTCTAAATGCAAGATATGCCCGCCACGAGGTTTCATGAATAGAAATCAATTATAATGGATGGTCAAAGTCTGTCTTCATAAAACGCTAAAAATTTCGATTATAATGGATTAATCAGCGATTTTATATAAAAAAATTAAATTGGAAATCAATTTAGTCCATTATAATGGATTATAATAGAATATAATGGATTATAATAGAATTTAATGGACTTTAATAATTTTTTTGGAGTAAGAGTCTGGATTTTCCGAAACCTTGAAATCAAATATTCAAACATTGTTGGTTGCAATCGCTTAATGGTGTTTTACATTTGACTACAGCGAAAAGTTGTATTGCTTTCTTTTTTCTACTTGTCTCCCCCGGTACCAAAATATTTCACACTTGCGCTAGCTGGGTGTGGCTAGGCGAGGGTGGCTAAGTGGGGTTTTAGGTGTGAGAGGGGGTAGGTGTGGGAGTAGTTGGGAGGATGGCTAGGTGGGGGGGGGGGTAGGTGTGGGGTGTTTGACGGTTGAGGTTGGGTGCAAAAAATGGTTACTTTTTTGTAAACTGGATATTTGAAGTAAATGAGAGAAAAATAATGGAAAGATTGCCATTCTGCAACTTCTTTTTACGTGGGGCGGATTTGGGGAGGGGGCGTGGGACGGACGCTCCTTCTCCTCAGGGATTCGACTCCCTGCCAACACAAAGGATCCACATTTTGTACTATTTATGGTGAGATATCCATTTTTGGTGACAGACACTAAAATTTGTCTAAAGGCGCCTTCGGCGCCAACATATACTAATTTTCAGGGAGAGCGCGCGCCAAAAAAATGCAATTTTTTTGGCTGAAAATTTCCAAAAATGCTTAAAAACGCCTTTTAGGCCTGTTTTTTCAAAAAATTTTTAAAATGGTCAGCTTGAGTGAAATTGATTGCATCATAAAGTACCGCACTACAGCAAGTACAGTGCTGGTGTAAATTATCCGGACAAAACGAACAAAACTTGAATTTTCAAAGGCCTTTTTCTTAAAATGGGTTAAGATTAGACAAAAAGTGAAGAGGACAAAAGTTGCTTAGAATTTCACTGATATAAGAGGCTTCCTGTGATATAATTTTCATATCAATTGACAAAGTGGTTTCAGATTCGTAATTCTTGATTAATTGAAAAAAGCCAAAATGACCCATTTTTGGGTTAAAATTTTTGTTGAGAATTTCGGAGATTTTTGTTGAGAATTTAAATGGCACCATAAAAATTCTGGTGAAATTCTAAGCAACTTCTGTCCTCTTCTTTTTTTGTCTAATCGTAATCCAATTTGAGAAAAACGCGTTTGAAAATTCAAGTTTTGTTCGTTTTGTCCGGATAATTTAAATCAACACTGTAGTTTACAAAACTAATGTTTCAATGCTTTTTAAAGCAAAGAAATCTCGAAAAGCTCTAGTTAGTTTAATGGTTCTTTGATATCAATTCATAACAAATTAAATAAAAATTTTAAGAAAAACTTAAACAGAAGTGAAAAACGTGAAAAATACAACTAAGTTTTTTAATGATTTGTGAACATTTTAGCTGATGTTAAAACGCTTCTTTACCATCTGCATAATTGCATTTTTTTAATCTCTTGTTTTAAGTTGCAGCAATATCACCTTTTTTTGGCCAGAAAACCCTTGGGTGGATCTAGAGTTTTCTCGAATTTTGTTGATCTTTTTTTGGTCGACCAAAGTCTACCAAATTGATTTTTCGAACGCTCCTAGAAAACTCTAAGGTCCTTATTTAAACCCAAAAAAGTTTTGCGCCCAAGGCATTTTTTTAAAGGGTCAAAAAGGCCCTGCTCTACTTCAAAATTGGTATATTTGGCGCCTTTTGTCAAAATTTAAGTTTTTTCGGCTTAAGACGGACGTCACGAAAAACATCAAAGAGGGGATCCTTTAGCGAAAAAAATGGTGGAGTCGATTGCTGGATCCCTTTGATTCAATTAGTAACTAACATTATAAGTTTCGATTAGGGTATATCTTAGATCAAAGTCGATCTGGTGTTAGAGTTAAAATGAAGTGATGTTTGAATAGAAAAAGTTAAATGTTATGCACAACTGTTCATCTTTTGTTAAATTTTTTCAATAGGAGAGGATATTAATTTCATTAACTTATTGCTTTTATTTCTTACAAAATTGTTGGAAACTAGCGGAGAGAAGGTGGAGACAACTTGTTGTCGAAATGGTTGCCGGGAAAGGGTACACTGTCCAATGCTCACTGTCCGTTGAGATCTTGTCCGACACTCGGGTGTTCTTGTGTTCGTTTCGTATTGTTTTATTTAACTTGAGAAATTGCTTTTACTTAAACTTGTTTAAATTTTGAGTGAATCTGCTAAAAGGGAAGCTTACTATGAGAGAATATGAATTTTACATTTTGAAAGAAAGAAACTAGCGAAAAATGAGAACATTTTAGCCGTCTGCTTGAGCATAAGAAATTAGAGTCTCTGAAAAAAGCAGGCAGGCTGATCCAAAACAACTTTAGTTTAATTTTGATTGCACCTGCTGTTAGACTTCTGTCATCTTTTAATCTCTTATCTTTCCTTTGATCAGGAGACCGACATTTGCTTTTTATCGATTTTTTAAATTAAAAAATCAATATTTATTTTAACTGAGGAAAATCATAAAATTTCCAGCTGCTTAAGTTACTTTAGAATTCAGAGCAGCGGGGATTCTTCGATTTACAAAGCCAAAACAAAAGACACACTCCTCTTGACGTGCGTCATGGATAAATACTTAGATGTTTCGATCATCTGTTAAACTTTATTCAAAAAAATTTTGCTTTTTTCCAAGTTTAATAAAACTGAAAGAACAACGAAAATCCGTTCAGACTTCGAAAAGTCAGACCTTTGCTTTTGACTTTTAAAATTTTAAGTTAGATTGTTCAGTTGAATTCTGAATCAAGTGTTCAAGTAGTATGCATATAGTGCATTAGAATTGGGCTGGGTTGTCATACATGGATGACCATTAGGTATACATCATAATGGTCACTATGTATTATCTGACAACTAATGGTCACCATCTAAAAATTCAAATTGTCACCACGTTTTAATTTATAACTGATAGTCCTGATAAAAAATTTTGATATTTTTTGAGTATTCCCGCTGAACGTTGTGTTTAAATGTTTGGTGTTGGAAAGGATTTGCTAAATCTTCGTTCCAATAACAACTGATATGTTTCACTGCGTTTTTTCCCGTTTGCTCAATTCTTCTTAAAACTTTGATTCAATTTCAATTTACGTACAAATAGATACAAAAGAATGCTGGAAACACTTCCGTTTAATTGAAAACGAATCTCTCCCCGATTAATTGGGTTCCAAAACTGGAACAAAATCTCGCACTTAAATACGCACTAAATAGCGATAGGTCAAATTTTATGCACACACAATTCTCCTATCAAACTACTGAGTTTTTTTTACTATACAAAAATTAATATGTTTTTTTTTGTGTCTTAGTCAATTCGTCGATTTTTGGTAGTGGTTCAACTGCTTCATAATCGAAAAATGAATCGTTGAAGAATGACGACTCGTCCTCGTCGGAAGTATTGGCCTCCAGATCGGCAATATCACCGCTATCTATATCATTGTCGTTGGTTTCTGCTGCTGAATCAGACCGGGGTCTTGAGTTTGCCAACTGCTATTGACCTGGTCCATCAATTGTCAAAGCGAACGATGTGGTTGTGTTTTTTCAACAGCAAAACTATCCTTAGAGCAGTCATCATCATTTTCCGGATGGTCCCAATCAACGTTTTGAGTGTTAGCGAATTCTTCCGACACCCCATCTAGGAAATCGTCACAATCCCACGACACTGGCTGTTGACCATCTTCAAAAAATGGCATCCATTTTTCCAAATCGACATGATCAGTTGGGTCAGAATTTGCAGCGGCGGCGTTGTCATTGCTATCATCAATGCCAATCGCAGTTTGACCCACGATAATTTCCGAATCATTTTCCGGATGGTCCCAATCAACGTTTTGAGTGTTAGCGAATTCTTCAGACACCCCATCTAGGAAATCGTCACAATCCCACGACACTGGCTGTTGACCATCTTCAAAAA